TGTGTGTCCATATAGATTAAAAGGTAAATTGACAGGTAGAGGGATAATGTTAGGAAATAAAAATCCAGTGAAGCTGAAATTATAGAATTGTTCATAATTTTAAAATACAAGAATGAAAAATGTATTTTATAAAATAGACACACAAAGTATTTAGTAAACATGTGGAAATGCTTATAATTAATAAAGAGTTTAATTGTTAGTCCCACACAATGCTCCTGTTTTGCCCCTTATTTCAAGAATAGTTACTTGTGGAAATTACCTGTATCAATCACTTTTGTCTAAATCATTCGTTTGTCTCGAGACAAACTTTTTTTTCATTTATAACTTTCAAGTTTTCCCCATCCGCCATCTGCCCACAAATTTGGAGTTTTAAGAATAGTCGTGGTCGTCTCCCTAGCGATTAGGGTTGGAATGAACAGTTTTTAAGCTTCGTCGTTATTCCTCTGACATATCGGATTCTGCCTCCTGCGGATCCAATGTTCCAGCCGGTGTTTTCTTTGTTTTTTATTGTGCAGATCTTATTTTTGGTTCGGACGTGCGGGCTGTGAGAAGAAGTCGCAGGCGCTGCTTTTCGTCGAGAGCAATACCGGCGCTTCGAAGGGTCTTTGAGCAAGGTGGAGATGGAGGAGATGATCAACAAATGTGATAACTGTTGGGTGTGTTTCGGAAAAACGAAGAAATATTAATTAAATATAATTAATTAATAAATAAAATAGCTAAAAGAAATCAGAAAATAAGATGGAGCAGATTGCAGCCACAGCTCGTGACGCACAATATCCTTAAAACGTATTCGTCGCCTCACATGGTGCTAGGAGCGTTGCAACGACCATTTCCCAAGATACGGTGGCTAACGAAGTAACGTTTGAGCACACAAACGTAAGTTCCGGCGAACTGAAATAAAAATTAGAATGTATCTTTGAATGATAGGTTTTCGGACGACATTCATGTCCACAGGTCGCGCACGCACACGAGTCACGATTTTTCTTCTCTGTTTTGGGATTTGATCGGAACCCCCCCTGCGCGTAAGAGAGAGTATTTATATTTAGGAATCTTAACTCCTTAAAAGAGGCATCCCTTTATAAGGGGGTGAAAATCCCTTGAGTTTTCCGGTGTGGGATAAAACACACCAGAAACCCATAATTTTCCCAGTTTTTCCATTTCAACGAGTGAACTTCGAGAATCAATTTCTCATTCACCCGTTATCCGTTTTGAGTGTACCACATATCGAATTGTAGCCCTTAACAAGGACAATCCGAAACCACTTTAACCCGACCCAAATCGGAAGTAGACTCCACTCAAATAATTGCCCCAAAATGACCATTTAATGCAATTTTTAACACATTTTTCCAACAATAACATGATTCTCGAGGGTGATGAGGACGATCTGGTTCAATCGGGAAGGCTTTCAAATTTTTTTTTGAAGTTGACTGCGTTTTTCTATGTATAATTTGACGCAGTCAACTTCAAAAAATAATTTGAAGGCCTTCCCGATCGAATTTTGAGCTGAAATTTGGCGGTCATAATAAGTGTAGTACAATATAATAGGATGGGCTCAACTGCATGGTATCAGATACCACTTCTTAATTAGCCGAAGTTGTAAGGCGTAAAAGGACAAGAAGGTAAAAATCTACTCCCCCCGTCCCAATTTACTTAGCCATCTTTGACTTTTCCAGTCAAAGATGATAAACTTTGACCAATTATTTAAACTAAAATATTTATGCAAAATTTAATAATTTTATACTTTTATGATAGTATTTTTAACAAAGAACATTTTCATATCATTTTCATATTATTAATATTTTCTCTATATAAACATATAATCGGTCAAAGTTAGATTCCATTGGCTTGAAAAGTCAAGATTGGCTAAGGAAAATGGGATGGAGGGAGTATTATCTTATATGGCAATAGGAATCACGTCAGCAGGAGTCCCGATAAATAGGAAGAGTGATTTATCTAAATAAGACTAAAACTTGTCAAAAATGCAAAAGTAGGACCATTAGTTTTCCGTTTAATTCGATATGACTAAAAATAGAATGGAATCGCAAAATTGCCCCTGATTTACGCGCTGCCTCACTTTCTTCCCAGCAGCGATTAATTTGTGCGACGATGATGGGTGCGAAGAATGTAGCCGACGATAATAGCTCTGCTGCTACATGCCCAGATAAGCTCCTTCTCCTGCATCTCATGTGTTTTCTTCTCCCATGTTTTTTTTTGTTTTTCTTCTTTCTTTGGATGTCTAAATTATTTCTTTTGAATGTAATCATAGTTGTTTTATTTAAACACTAATTTCAAAGTAATGTTACTGTTATGCCATCACAATCATCAAGATGACAGATTTGTTTTACATCTTTATTAAACATTTGAAGCAAAAACTTGTCATTTTCAGAGTAATAATGACATTCTCATGATAAACATGACATTTTTTATAAAGTAAAAGGAGGGACTGCCATGTTTATACATTTGTAAATGTCATCTTCATGACAGTTTTACTTTACATTTTTATTGAACATTTGAAGCAAAACTTGACATTTTCAGAGTAATAATGACATTCTCTTGATAAACATGACATTTTTTATAAAGTAAAAGAATGAGAGACTGCCATGTTTTATACATTTGTAAATGTCATCTTCATGACGGCCTTTCTTTACAACTTTACTGAACATTTGAAGCAAAACTTGACATTTTCAGAGTAATAATGACATTCTCGTGATAAACATGACATTTTTTATAAAGTAAAAGAAGGAGAGACTGCAATGTTTTATACATTTGTAAATGTCATCTTCATGAAGAAGAAGAGGAAGAAGAAGAAAAAGAAGAAAAGAAGAGAAGTAGCAGGAAGAGTAATACCTGAAAGTCTAAAATTGAAGTTGACGTCACCATCATTTTAATTTGGAAGATAAAATCTTCTAAACGGGAGAGGGAAGATCGGGTGATGCAGAGGTGTTTCAAATTCAATCAGAAATGGGAGAAATCTGAGGTGGAGGTACATAGAGATTAGAAGACGAGCAACAAAAGTAATTGGAGATTTTGAACATCCCTGAACAAGAAACGTACAAGGCGGTGATGCGGACCTGCTCAATGTTGAAGACGGCGATGAGGAATAAGAGAAGGATTGAGCGACAGAGGAAAACAGAGACTTTTTGGACATTGCAGAAACTGTAAAAAGTCGGAAGAGGAGCGTATCAGTCCTATAATGGGAATAAAACATGATAACTCCTATTTTGGCTTTTTATCTATCTTTTAGTCCTATTTAAGACAATTTTTTCAAATAGGAACGGCGAACTGCAAAGGAAGGTGATGTTGGTCATAGAAAGTGAAACAATCGTTGAAGTTCACTTTTAGGAACAGAGAATGACCGATTGAAAAAGTAGCAATTTCATAGAAGAATTTTAATTGTAGAAGAAAAAGTGGCAATTTCATAGAAGAATTTCATTGTAGAAGTTCATTTTTTTTTTCAATTGTAGAAGAAGTTCGAACCTAAACGTTCACTTTTAGAAAACATACTGATCATCAATGGAAAATATAGCAGAAGAAAAGGTTTGGCAAACTGAAAATTGTAAATGCGTGCAGAAAATAAAGGGTAGCATTGTTAAATTGATGTATTCGTGGGATTTAGTGATGGTTAAGTATGAAAAAGTGAAGTTACCAGTAATTTTGTGATGTTGAAATATGAGTAAGAACAAGAAACGTGTGCAATGTATGTGTCGGGATAATGGGCCGGGTCCAAGACTATCTGCTCGTTACACCCGAGTTTTAGCTCGACCAAGCTCAGAAAACAGTTAGACTAACGAATATTGGTCTGGGATTATTTAATTACTTATCGGAGCTGGTTAGCCCATTAGCGTCAGTATTAATTGATAAACCGGGTCAAGCCCAGCACCTAATTGGTGGGCAACTGGGCATGTTGTATACGCCTATAAATATGCCGTCAATCCCTTTTATTCACCTAAGTTTTTATCACCATATTGAATTATTGTCAATTTCTTTACCCAAGATATTTTCTACCAACAATATAACTACACACGTGTTGTTTTTTGTGTTCATTACTGCCTGCTATGCATGTTTTTCAGAGTGCATGGCGATAAACTATGAGGTTCATGAAATAAAGTATTTTGTGATTCATAGAATAAGATGAAGAGTTGTAATTTTTAAATTAGAAATCTGCACGTGTATTAAAAAGTATGGGTGTTGTTGATATGTTAGTACTTCAAATTCTAGAAAAAGTGAAAATCGTGAAGATGAGAGAGCAGTAGATGAAGGGAGGAGGGGAAAATGACGGTGGTAGTTAAAGTCCAAGAGATACATTATCAATATCAACAAATTAATTTTCAAGTGTGATATACTGAATGATGACACAGATTGTGCAGTAGAGTAATAGTTCGGTGGAGAGTAATAACTAATAAGGGGGTAAAAGTTAGAAAATGCATGTTTATTAAAGTGAGAGATTTGAATGAATCTGGATCGTAGATTTGTTTTATGTGAAATTTAATGGGCATTAGATGAAACTAAAATATACATTATGTAAAATTGAAATGTGCAGCACAAAGGGTACGACATAGTATCATTATGTAAAGCTAAAATGTGCATTAGGTGAAACTGAAATTTTCACCAAGTGAAACTGAATTGTGCAAAATAACAAGTACGATGTAATGCCATTTTTGTACCGTTTATATTGCACATTTCAATTTCACATAATGCACATTTGAGTTTAACCTATTATTATGCACATTTCAATTTCATCTAATGCACATTTCAGTTTCACCAAATGCACAATTCAATTTCACATAATACAATTCAACAGTTCAGATTCATTCTCAATTCTCTTCTGAAAGTCCTTTCTTACTGGAACCGCTTATATATATATTTGAAAATTCGGAAGTCACCCAAATCAAATTAATTGAGATTGAATTATAGGTGAAACACCTATAATTAATTAGTGAACCACCTCTACCGAATTAAGAAAAGCCTGCACTCTGCACTTATGGGAGAAACACCTCTACTATTCCATTAATATAATACTCCATAGTCCATATTAATAATGTGACAACTGGGACACCCATTTAAAAATGGGATACTCATTTAAAAAATGGGGTGTCGTACCTGATACTAACTTGATTGGTTCAAATCATTGCATCATTTTTAATTTGAATTTAAATAATTGAACTACATCATTGTGATTGGTCCATATGGACAAAGGTACGGTAACTTAAGAGTACCGTATAATCTACCCATTAATAATCAGTCCTAATTAATCTCAACCCTAGTAATCGTCCATTAATTAACTAATTCCGGTCAACATTTAATTTTACTTTCATCAAATATATATGAATGGGAAATTAATTAGCAGCTGGCTGGCTAGGATCTTTTACGAAGGGTGTGCTTATTATTGTGCATCCAAACCTTAAACACCTGTCGCCTGATGTTTGTGTTGGCGCAGAAGAGTTCGACGGCTTCCTCATTATCTTTCTGAATCTGCCACTCCAACCGCTCGGCGAAGGCCATCATTTTGTCCTTTTGCTCCCGGCTGAACTTCGTCCTGAACCGTTTCCTCGAACCGCCTTCCCCACCGCCGCTGCTGCTCGGGTTCGACATGTCTTCATTCCGGCAGGTCGACGGCAGTGCTAGTGGCAGGTACCCGCCACCTGATGGGTGGCGGTGATGAAGGGGAGGCGTGCGGTACGATGTGTTGGCGTAGTCGCAGGTTTCCTCCTCCTTCCGGTGGAAGTTCCGGTGACAGCCGCAGGCGGCGCATTTCAGGGCTTCTAGGGTCCCGTCGGGTCCCGCCGGCATAAACTCCCCGCACCCATCGACGGCGTGCCCGCCCATCCCTACTGCATGGTTCTTCAAACACTCCCTGTGCCTGTATGTGGTTATGGGCCCGCCGCCGGCGCCGTTTTTCCTCCCGCCGACGAGTGCGGCCGCTTGGGCTTCTTCCACGCCTATTCCGGAGTGTCCATGCGACTGATAAGACCCTACAGCCTCCATTTGATGGTGCATCTCGATTTCGTCTTCTTGCTCATCATCATTATCATCAAAATCCATTCTTTAATTTGTGAATGGTGTTATTCCGGCATATGTTTGGATTTGGATGAATGGATGGGGAGTTAAGGAAGCTAAGACTTGAGAGAACTGTGAAGTAATTAATTACTGTTAGCTTGGTGTGGCATATATGGGGTTAAAAGACTTGTGATTTGATCGAGGAAAAGAGGAAGGGAACGAAGTGTGTGGTCAGCAATAATAATACTCGTAGTAATTACATATAGTCTTGTCCTAAATAAATCTCACTATTTTACTTCACACAAATTAAGTAAATAAATTTGACTTTACTGTAGAATATACTGTTTGTGACACTGTTTGGCACTGTTTGACACTGTTTTGCACTGTTTCGATATAAATAATTTGCCAAATAAGGAAGGGAGAAGAAGTGTGAACTTTATTTTAGACCAACCCAAAAGGAAAAATGTGAACTTTATTTAGGATCAGAGAGAGTGTATATATTCTCTAGTCCCTCCCTCATTTATAATAGGGTCCTTCAAGCGTACCTTCATGAATTAGAAGTGTACAGGTACATTTGCCATAATACTGAATTATACTCCATACATTTGAGTAGCTATATTAAAATAGAATAGTGATGTGGCACATTTGATTGGCTTACAAAACTCAAGTACTGGTGCCTCTTATATTAATAAAGGTACGGTAGAAATTTCCTTTATAAAAAGGTTGACCGGACCCTTAAAATTTACTGAACAGTTATTTGAAAGAAGATAAATTGAACTTTAATCAAACATTCATGAAAAACGAGCGATACTTCATATCAAGTTTTTGTTTGAAGTTGAATCAGAGATATTTTCCTTGTAGCATCCTCTTTCTACAAAGTACAAAGTGAGCTATGCCCTCGATCAATCCCTCCCTCATTTATAATTTTACATAAGTTGATGAGCGAGAATTAACAACAATCACAAATTATGCAAATGAGAGAGAATTAACAACAATCACAAAATCTTTATTTAAAAGAAAAATTGAAAACATTAGTGAGACAACTAAAAGAGAATGTTGACAAAATTCTAAAGGACGAAATGATCAGTATATATATAATTAAAATGTGACCCCTTATATAAAATGGGTATAATAATCATTTGGGAAAATTCCGAAATAGGGGTAAAAAAGTTTGAAATTTTTTAAATAAGTTTGTCATGTTTTTATTTCCAAAATATAAGTAATTAATGTCAAGTTTAGAAAATACTGTAATGTTTAAAGTCTGGTACTGTCAAAACATGACAGTAATCAGTCTCACTTCAGTAAAAAACATGATAGTTCTATTTTGAAATAGAAAGAATGACATAAATACTACCTATACACTTTTAGTGGACTAAAATATGTGTGATTTTAAACTTTTCAAAAATATGATTTACATCTCCCTCTCAGCGCCTTTCGTCTCCCTCAGCAAAACTCTCCCTTAGCACTTCATCTACCTGCAATCAACGATGGAGCGAATGAGACCACCAGGGTTCAGCGATAACGTCCTTCTCTCTCCGTCGATCTATCTGCGCTTTTTCTCTTCGCACGACCTTCCTTTGCATCATTCTTCTTCTCCGAAGACCTGTTCATCGGCGATGGCGGCAACGATTCATTGCAAAAACGACGATGGCACCGACTAGGGTTCAGCGATAGAGATGGTGCACACCAAAATCTACAAAATATGTGTATACCAAGTACTCCCTTCGATTCTCAAAGAGTTTCACAGTTTGACTTCACACAGATTAAGAAAGTAAATTTGAATTTACTGCGGAGTGCACTGTTTGACATTGTTTGGACACTATTTGGCACTGTTTGGCACTGTTTGACACTGTTTTGCACTGTTTTGGTGTAGATAATTTGCCAAATAAGGAAATAAGAAGAAGTGTGAAGTTAATTTAGAAACTTCCCGAAAAGGGAAGTGGGAAGATGTTTGAGAACCGGAGGGAGTAAGATTGAGTAATTCTAAGGAGCACTCCCTCTGTCTCGCAAAGAAGTTCTTGCTTTCCTTTTTTAGCATTCTAAAAAAGAAGTTTCTCTTTCCTTAAATGAGAAGTTATTTACATCAAAACAGTGTCAAACAGTGCAAAACAGTGTCAAGCAGTGTCAAACAGTGTCGAAACAGTGTCAAAACATTAAAATTCATCAGTAGGTAAATTTATTTCCTTAATATTGGAGTGTGGGAACAAAGATTTTGACAAGACGGGGAGGAAAAGGAAAAGGGGCCGTGCCCTGAATTGAGGTGTGCTGTTTTGGCAGCCTTTTGGGCTAACATAGATTTATCATATATTCTCTCTTCTATTGCCCAAATATTTGTATTCTTAGATTCCTCTGTCCCAGAGCTGCCCACTCTCCGAATATTGGACCACTCCTTTGGCAGCCTTTTCGACTCATTTGTCATTTATGTTACGCTACCCCATCCCAAAATTATTGTATGCTTTGATTGCCCATGGGATTTAAGAAAATGAATATTGTTTACTTATCATTTAAGTAAAAAAGGTACTCCTTCCGTTCCTATTTTATCTTCCAAATAAGTTTGACACACAATTTAAGATAGTGAGCTTTGTGTGGTGGAGAGTTGTGCAGAGGAGAGAGAAATGTGTAAGAATGTTGTGAACCACAAATTCTTTACTAAAAAGGGAAAGTAGAAATTTTAATTGGAACGAACGAAAAAGGAAAGTTGGAAGTTTTAATAGGAACGGAGGGAGTATAAATATACGGAGTAAGAATGGATGCAAAAAAACTGACGATATAAATTAGGTATACTAAAAGTAAACACATTAACAATATATTGAAAACCTCATCTTAGTTCATCTTAAAAAATAACCAATCAATAAACACATATTATCAAATTGAAGTTTTTTTCCAAAGTAATGTTAAATAAAAAATTATTTACGAAATTTGAGTTGGGTTAAAACTATTTACTAAAATAATACTGGAATAAACCCTAGTTAATGGAAGCTTCCAAATGGTTTGGCTAATTTGGCTTCGGCTGGTTAGTCGCTCAAGAACAGCCAAGAAACAAGCTACAATGCTAGGTAAAATACACCGTACGGCCGGTTGTACGGTGCTCACCGTACAGCTGGGTTTTTTTGTAATTAAACCTCCGCGATTCAGCTCTGCAACTCGCGATTTAGCCCTGCAACTCTCATCGAAGACGACGAAGGACGGCAGATCGAAAGTCTGGTGCAACTCACGAACGCAGATCGCCGATAACCAAGCTTCCAAGTGCAACTCACGAGTCACGACTGAGATTCTTAGCCGACGCAGAGACGGCTCTACCCCTGCGAGCGATTCCTATTCTTCACACTCTATTTTTCCGTCTCTGCTAATTACTTGTCTGCTATATGGGCTGCCACAGTTTTTTATACAAAATGAAATTATGAGCATAGTAGACATTTCGAATGAAATTTATGATTGCTCATTTTGTAATTTATGTATACTCATTTGATATTTGCTTAATACTCATTTTAAATGAAATGAGTTTTATGTTAAACTCAAATGAGTATAATGCCCAAAAAGAATAGGCACACACAAATGAACCTTTTAATTATTTGATACTAACTTGTAAGTTATGTATGCTCATTTTAAAATGTTGAACATTTCAAATGTATCGTACTAAACGAAAAAATAATAAACCAAAAGTGATATATAAGGTTTGAAGCAGAGATCACTGATTCTCACCGTTAGGCTCCTCATACTCAAAAGAACAAGATTGATGCTCATCAAAGTTGCATAAATGCTCATTTAGGAGAATCCGCGATTTTCACAAAAATTACAATTTTTCCATCGGCTGTACAGTGATCATTGTACAGCCGGCTGTACAGTATACGCGTTCACAATGCTACGAGTATGGATTTTGAGATAGCCAATAGGAACTCATCCAAAATTAAAAATTCCATCTTTTTTAAAAATTGTTGTAACTTTTATATTGACAATCCGATTTTCATAAAAATTATATCCAAATTTATAAATTTTTATTATCTTTCATATGACACCAATATTTGATATATAAAATCTAAAATAATTTTGAAGTAACGATTAGTAGATGTGTTTTAGACTACAAACATGTTTAAGTAGATCTATGTTCTAAAACTAAGATCTCGTAATTTCTTAGAGTCAGTTTGATAACGCCGAAATTGATTGATTCTATTGAAATTTAAGAAAATCTTATTGAAATCGCTAGATTAACTAATTCTGTTGATTATAAAAAAAATTATATCTAAGATATTTTTAATTAATAAGATAAAAATAATTATATGAAGGAATAGTTAAAATGGTTCTCTGCAGTGATTTCAGCCAATACAGTCAATAAAGTAACTTCAATCTTACTTTTTTCTTATTTGACTGATAAAGCGAAAAATAGGGTCATCAAACAAGCTATGAGTATAAAAAAAATCCATAATTACAACATGAAATTGAGCTATATAATTACGCGATCTTGATTCTAGAGCATAGATCTATTTTACAAAAAAAATGAGCGTAAAAACTTCCACACATCGTATTTTTTAGATTTATATTTTTATGTATTTAATATTGGTGTCATATGAAAGGTAATACTCCGTAAAAAAATATGAATTTTGTAATACTTTTTATAAAAATCAAATTATAAAGAAAAAAGTTTATAACAATTTAAAAAATATATTATTGGTGTCATATGAAAGATAATAACTCCTTAAAAAATATAATGACTATTGCTTCATATAATTTTTTATTTATCTTATTGATAAAAATTATTGTAAATATAATTTTTCATAGATTTACAAAATTTCAGTCAACCAGTCCAGCCACTTCAATTATAATTTCACAAATTCTAGCCTAAGTAGCCGATTCAGTCAATTTCAACGTTATCAAACGTGCTCTAAAAAATTATGAGATTTTAATTTTAGAACATAGATCTACTTAAAAAAGTTTGTAGCCTAAAAATCATCTACTCATCGTATCTTCAAAATTATTTTAATTTTTATATATCGAATATCGGTGTCATATGAAAGATAATGGAAATCCATAAATTATGATATAATTTTAATGAAAATCGGATTATGAATGTAAAAGTTACAACAATTTTAAAAAAGAGAGGTATTTTTTAATTTTGGATGAGTTCCTATTAGCTACCTAATAATCTTCACTCCCTATGTATGGACCAACATTGTAGCTTGCTTCTTGCGCGACTAACCAGCTCAAGCCAAAGTT